CAACAAGCAAAACGTCTTTATATTTACCGTACAAGTGGGTGCCGTCAATGCTAAGAAGATGATGATAATATCTAAAACCCTCAATGCAAGGCCTAAAAGCCCAAAAGCCCAAAAGCCCAAAATACACTTGTGAACCGTCGTTCTCCGCCATCAACATGGTCTGATGATACTTCATACACTATCCCCAAATTTTTTCTTTTAAGTGCGTCAAGATAATGTGGTAAGGTCTCATAAAATTTGTCCCAATTCACGAATATTTTTATTATCGCCTTCCTCCGAGCATTCCAATACTTATTGTAAGATACATCCAAGTTAGTTGCTTTATGTACTAAAAGACGAATATCTTTTGGCCTTAGATTAAGATCCTCCCTTAGATTAGGCATAATCAATCGATATATGAAAGAGGCGGAGGCGTGCTTATGATTCATCTTTAATTAAGGATTGCTACATGTGTAAAGTCCGTTGTAGTGTGTGATTTTAAATTGCCGCCTACTTTTACACCCAAGTGTGAATTAAGCTTCCAAGGACATTTTGCATTGTCGTCATGGTGCTCACCACTATCTTCTTCTCCGCCATCTTTGCGGTAAAAAAAACTACATTATACCCTGTTGCATTGCTTTTTATTTGTCTAAACTTGATATTTTTTTGGATGACCCACAAACAAAGCGCATGAATCAATTTCTCCTTGCTTTTAAGTAGATTGTCCTTTTTGAATGAGAAGTCCTTGCCTTGTGTATCATCAACAATATTAGTGCCAATAGGAATACTTTTTATCGTGAAGTTATCAATCTATTCTTCTCCATGAAGTTCATTGGGTGGCGGATCCTCTAACACGACATACTCATTGTTAGTATAGCATCCGTCAATATATTGGTTGTCTCCTTCATCATGATCTATCAAACATGTCATGCTATTGATTTGTAAGCCATCCTCTTCATCATCATCCTCAGATTCAACACTTGCATTATCATCTTCTATCGCCACTCCTATGGAAGGCATTGGATCTTTATGGGGAGCATTAGCATTGAATGCATTTGAAGTGCCCACAAGCGAATGACTGCTCAAGTATTGTTACTGTATCCATCCTACATCTTGTTGCGGAGATAAAAAGTCAGTGGAGTCAACTTTAAGGTCATCCAACATGCAGGAGTATATTTCGTCGTGATTCACCGATTTGCCCAAATTTTTGTGATGCTTTTCAATAAATAATTCTACCGAACGCTTCTCGTCATGTAATATTTTAATAAGACCCATATCGTAGTCAATTGAAATTTGAATGCCGCTTGTTCTGTTCCTCGCAACAGGATAATTGCAAATAATGTTGAGGTGATACTCACGTGAGTTGGTTAATGTAAGTTTGTGCAAGTCATTAATCAATTCATCGAAAGTACACGATTTTGATATAAACAACGACTTCGTCACATCTCGTCATACACGGGCATATTATTTTCGAGATAGTTAATCTTTCCACTATATAAATAAAAAATTACGATTCGATCGTTCATCGTTACATCTGAAAAGTAAAAAAATCAATATCAATATTACATGAAAAAAATATAGAAATTGTTATTTATCATTAAATCTTCTTATATCAATTTTAGACATCCATAATTTTAACAAAATGTCAAACCTTTATAATAACACTAACTTTTATAATTTTTAATAATTTCCCCTCTACCTTCGTACACAAAATTATTTAATTTTTCTTCACAAAATTTATAAACAATTCAAACTTTATTTTAAAATCTAAATTTATACAAGTAATCAGCATGAAATAGTGAGAATATATAAATAATAAGATTTTTTTAAAGATTTTACCTAAAATTTATCGATGCTCTAATTTTCGGTGAACTCCGGTAGTGACGGGTGGCGAGATCAATCAACGACGGTGATGAAGATCCTCCCTAAGAGGCGGTAGGCTCGGCGGCGACAGCGGTGACAGTGGAGGGTGGCGGGAGAAAGGGCTAGGGTTTGGGAACAAAGGATAAGAGGGTCGCGTGGGTGAGAACAGCTGAAGATCGCGAGTGGGGTCCTGAGCCTTTTATAGGCTCTGTCAAACTCCATGGGACTTGAAGTCCTGTGGAGTTGTAGGGACAATTTTCCAAAGAGCGGAGCTCTCTGAAAAACTGACTGAGACTTCACGGACTTAAAGTCCCGTGAAGTTCAATGTGAACTAAAAGTTCATGGGACTTCAAGTCCCGTGATCTTATATGGATGGTTGAGAGGAGGATTAGCGGAGGACTAAACTTCACGGGATTTGAAATCCCGTGAAGTTTCGGATGATTTTTTTTCAAAATCGACTCAGTTGGTTGAAACTAGGTCAATTTTGAAAAATAAGTACAAAACGGGTCGGTTTTTGCAATTAAGTTTGCAAATAGGACGGTTTTGAAAATTTGTCCTTTTACTTATAAGTGTCAAGTTACATATTTGGTTAATGTTTACTTTTTTTACTTTATCTCTTTCTTGTAAGTAAAAAAATAAGTTGATATTTCCAAACTTATTTTTGTTACTTATAAGGAATTTTACTTATCAAGATTTTGAAGAAACGAGTTAAGCAAAAATTTCTTGGATTTTGAGGGGCTAATTTAAATTACAAAAGATGGATGTCTAAGATGAATTGGTAGTAGGAAAAGATAAAATAAAGATATGAGTGGCTAGATCAGATTTACACACAATATCTACTAGCAAATCAAATGTCCCAAACTAGCAAATATCTTATCTAATATCATAAAACAGTTTTGAGTAAATATGACAAGAAGAATGTTATTGTAATCACAATATTCTAATTAATTTGACATTTGATTTATAAAATATGTCTTAATTAAATATTTGATAATTATGAAACAATTTATTATATATTAATTAGTTAATTAATTAATAATTAATTTTATTAATAATATTTATTTGGTTAATGTGAAATTAATTAGTTAGTCTCAATATTAGCTATTAATAAAAATAAATAATGTTTTGTCAAAGTAATTATAATAATAAATAATGGGATATATAAAATACATTCTAATTGAGTATTTTTCTTGTTATGTAATAATTTATTTTGTATCAATTAATGAATTAATTATTATTTTTAATTACAATAAGTATTTCTTAATATAAATTACATAAGTAATCTCAATACTAGTCAATAATGACAACAAATAATGTGGCATGTAAAATATATTTAATTAAATATTTTTAATTTGGTAATAATTAATTGTGTTAATTAGTTAAAATTTTCATTAATATTAATAGTTATTTTCCATTAAAATTATATTAATAAAGTCACCAACAATTGGGTTCAATAATGTGTCCATTTTGGTCATTTTGACAGTTAGTAGAACCTTATAAGTTATTGGTTTATCGAACATATAACTATACACAAACCCTTCTAAGTTACTGGCTTTACCAAACATTTTACTTACTTTCTTACATCCTTATAAGTCATAAGTAACTAATGAGGTTTCACAGAATAAGGAGTTGACAAACATGCTCTTATAAGGGTGTATATGTTGCTTACCTATCTTTTACTGATAACATTTTGAGTTGGTTTTAGCACTAAATCAAATATTGATTCTATCTTTTGTATCTTTTCTGTAAGTTGGTTTTGAGTCTTTTGTTTCCTATTCCACATGCTATTCACTATCTCCTGTCTCCTGTTTTCCTTTCTTCACATTGTTAGGTATACTTCATGTTATCATGCTTCCATAAGCTGCATCGTCATCCTATAGCGGTGTTTATACTTTTGTTGGCAGTTCTCTTTCTTATAGTGCTAATAGGAATTCCATATAATCCATGGCTAAGTGAAAAGGAAAGGGGAAGTAGTCTAATGTGAAAAACCTCAGGAAAGAAATAATTTACAAAAGTGAAAGAAGATGCAGATAACCATAGTGATTACAAGAAAGCTGAAAGTCTAATCTGTTACAAGGTACAATAAGAAAGTTTTGCAAGTTTCTCGCAAGAACATTAATACCTCCTCACACAAGTAACGCCAATGTTCATGTTCGACTGAAAAACAACTTGGGGCTAGTAAAAACTATTTTAAAAAATGATCCAGAGACAAATACTAGATAGAATCTGAAGATCAAAACAATTTTATGGAACTTAACACGAAAAAATTCAATTGTAGCAACATATGATTTACTCCTAAAATAGGGAGTCAAGTTACTCATAATTTAGTTTGTTTATAACTATAAGCAAGCTTGACTTTGACTGTTGTTATAGTAGCTTCCATCAAACTCATACAACCATTTGTGCTTGATGAAAGAAGCTCTTTGTGTTCCATGGTTGATATTTTTAAGATCTGAGTTTCACTATGTACTCCAAGATAGTAAAAAGCCAAGAGCCCTATTCATATTTCAAGCGGTCGCTTACTCCAGTTACCATCATCACTTGAGAAGAATAAGCAGAAATCTGTGAATGAAACCTACCATGGTTGATGGGAGAAAGTTCACTGTGCGACTTCCTATTTTGAAGTCTAACTTGTTTTCTGCAAATCATATTAGGTCACCTTAGAACTATGACAAAATCCACGACAGATACATTGCGTAAGCTCACAGGGTGCAGAAGTGCATAACTTGACTTTCTTATATTCTTCGGATCAAGGGAAGAAGCCAGGAGTGATCTTTGCCTTGTGTTTCTTGTAGGAGATACCCTGGAATTCCTTTGACAAATTTTTGTTGGGAAGTTTCACATATACCTTCAGTCTTAGTATATGCAATTTCTTTTTACAGAGGAATCAAAAAGTCTTTTATGTTCAGGATGCTTTTTTTTTCCCATTTCTTGTACTAGGTACATGCACTTATCACAAAATGTTCCTTTTTCATTCTTATATGAGGTTGTATAACATGACTTTCAATTTTCTGAAACCCTTCTTTTAAAAATTTCCCCCTTATCTTTGCAATTTTGGTGGGTTGTGCATACTTGTTTGTTTTTGATTTTTTGGGAGAGGGGCGGGATTGGGAAATGATCAAATCTGAAACCCTCGTTCATTCAATTGACATTTACAGGTTGGTGAAGATGAGTTTGGATACATGTTGGCTGATATACTGAAGGAAAATAATGTGAATAACCAAGGAATACGTTTTGATCCTGGTGCTAGAACAGCTTTGGCTTTTGTCACGTTGAAAAGTGACGGTGAGCGTGAATTCATGTTTTATCGTAATCCCAGTGCTGATATGTTGCTTCAAGAAGAAGAGCTTGACCTTGATATCATAAAGAAGGTACTCATGTAGTGGAAATAATGAATTTCAGGCTTAATCAGAGAAATATATGATCTACATTTGTAGTTTTTAATGCACCATAACTTAGTTTCTAACACCTATGCCAGGCAAAAATCTTTCACTATGGATCTATAAGTCTTATCACAGAACCATGTAAATCAGCACATATTGCAGCAGCTAAAGCTGCTAGGGATGCTGGAGCTCTCCTATCTTATGATCCGAATCTTCGACTTCCACTATGGCCATCTGCTGAGAGTGCTAGAGAAGGAATCTTAAGCATATGGGATTTCGCTGATATAATCAAGGTAGCTATCTGTCTTATGAATTTTACCACATCCCATTTAGCATTTTGAATTTTTTTCTTCCTTGTATGTGATGACTTTAATGGCTTAGACGCTAGAAAATGGGATTGTTTTTCTGACTATACGCAAATGTAACACAGATAAGTGAAGAAGAAATCACCTTTTTAACTAAAGGTGAAGATCCGTATGATGACAATGTAGTCCGTAAACTTTTCCACCCAAACCTGAAATTGCTCCTTGTCACTGAGGGCCCAGATGGCTGCAGATATTATTCTAAGGTATACTTTTATTTCACCTACTCTCTTAAGAAGATCTAATTCAAAATTTCGTTAATGCATAACTTGTAATAGTTTTATGCACTGCTTTTTTAATAATATTATTGAGTTGCATCATCTGTGTAGATACGATCGTACACTTGAACTATACATTTTCAACATTGAAGTTTCTGCTTTTTGTACTTTCTTTTGCTTTCCTTTTTTTACACGCTTTCCTAGAATATTGCACAGATTTAAACCCACTCCTTACTTCAGTCTGATTGGGTCTATATATCATTTTGGATCATTTATTGTTGTTTGAAAGAGGTGATAACTGAAACTTGAACGTAGTATTTTCAACAAACTCATTTCAAGCATTTAGCTTGCACCCACATCTATGGAATATGCCATGTCCTTTCAGTTTTTTGCAAGGTCTCTGTGTTGGATATTTTAAGACACCCACATACTTGAGGCCCATATCCATGTTATGTAATATTGTAAGTTTTACCACAGTGATTGTTGATTTAGAATCAACTTATTAGGTGCACTCACATAACTATGTCCTACATGATAAGATGCATTTCTACCAAACGTAAATCCAGCATATCCAAAAACATGGGATTGTGTAAACCAATTTGTAAAGCACATGAATTGAAATAGACAACAATCAATCTCGATATGGTGATTGGGGCAACAAATAATGATTAGGAAAGCAATAATGATGATGCCTCACATTGGGACAACATGATTGTGGTTGGTGAAACAGATGGAATTGAGATCACAACATCAGAACTAATGCTAGTAAGTTCAAGAGTAGGTTAAAACCCTGATTACTTCATAGATTGATCAGACATTATAATGGGAATTGGGAAGGAGTTGCCTGAGGACAAAAAGCTCAAGTTTTTTATCCTAAAATTAAGTACAAATCTGAGTATGGATAAATTTTGGAGATGAAATCTAGTATCATATCCACTAAAACGAAATAAGGACATGAGCATTGATGATTTCTAGTATGATGGATATGCATATTAAGCCTATTGATGCAAACAATTATCATAATAAAAAAAGTCAATAATTTGGAGAAACCAGAAGCGACAAGGTCGTAAAGATTAAGTGAATCAAAATTGTGTTATTAGACGACTTAGGTTGTCTAATGGCATGTGGTCATTGTCTAAAAACTAATAGATTTAGAAATGGGGGTATATATCTAAGATCAGATAATTCATATTCATGTCTCTTTCTGCAAAAGAAAATTTAATTATCCATTATTGAATTTGCATGGTTAGGATACTTTTATATTATATTGATATCCACGAGGATATGGATGTGGAATTTATTCAGATTATCTGAATCCGTTTACATCCTTACTTATAACTGATGGTTATAGTTGCCTAAAATTTAAGGCTTAAGCTGATTATATACATGGATCACTTATTACCCTCTTTAAAAGCTCATAAATACTGAATTATCTAATAAGTATTAATTCTAACCTGAGAAATCAGCCATTTTAAAAGCTCATAAATACTGAATTATCTAATAAGTATTAATTCTAACCTGAGAAATCAGCCATTATTTCGCTTGTTCTTGTCCAAGTAGATCTGAAACTCTAAGTATTAATTCTAACCTGAGAAATCAGCCATTATTTCGCTTGTTCTTGTCCAAGTAGATCTGAAACTCATGAAACTAATTCTCTTTTCCCCCCCAGTATTAAGGAGCAAGTTCATTTCATGTACAACTGTTTTTTTTTCTTTTTTCCCCTCCTCTTTGACCCCCTTCTTCGCCTGAGCATTTATGTCTTTCACCATTACAGGAATTCCATGGGAGGGTAAGTGGTGTAAAGGTGGATCAAGTAGACACAACTGGTGCTGGTGATGCTTTTGTTGCCGGAATATTATCTCAGTTAGCTGCTGATATTTCCTTGCTTCAGGTAAACTTTCAGGGATTCTTGCAAACAAGTTTATAGCAATGTTTTGCTATTGTACAATTCTTTTCTTAAGATCTTTGAAATTTGCAATATCTGTTTTCTGTATTCTTCATGCTAATAGTTGAAGATTCACAACAAAAAATCTCTGACATATTTGTCCTGTTCAGAATACTTAATTTAGTTAGTAGGTTGAAGCAGAGATATCTGGGGGCTTTACCAACTGACATATATTTAGGGACAAATTTTTGAAATCAACCTTTTTGAGATTTTAATCAGCAAAAACGACATTCTTATAAATTAATTAGCAAAACCGACCATTTTCAAATGAAAATGGTCTGTTTTGCGAAGTGCACGGGACTACTAGTCCCGTGCACTTCGTTTTAATAGACCGACCCCTGTTCCCGTGACTGACCCCCTCCCTTCATGCCTCCCCTTTCCAAAAAAATTGTAGACCCCGCTCCCATTATTGAACTCCCCTTCATAGAAATCTCCATTACTCTAGAACTCCACTCCTTCCTTCACAAGCTCAGATTTTGAGCACAACCCATTTGTCAAAATCCTCTCTTCCTCGTCCCCAATGAACCATTGGACCAACTGAGCCGATTTGAGTCGGTGCCCGAAGAGGAAAGACCTGGTTTGGGTTCGGGTGAGTTTGGGATTGAGAGAGGAGAGGGTGTGGATGAAGAGGAGAGAGAGGAGAGAGGGTGGGTGAGGGTTTGGGTTCGGGGGGTTTCGGGTCTTTTTGTGTCTTCGGGGATTTGATGATGATGATGTTGTTGTCCATTGAGAGAGGAGAGGGTGTGGGTGGATGAGCGGAGGAGGGAGGAGGGTGTGCGGGTGAGTTTGGGATTTTGGGTTTTGTACATTGATTTTTTTCCCCTAGCGAGAGAAAGAGAGCATCATCTCATTTGAATTGATTGAAGAAGGGGGAGACAGGGAGGAGAGAGGTCAAAAGTGTTCCAACAACGGGCGATGACAAAAGGGCTGGGAATTAAGAACGAAGTGTACGGGACTACTAGTCCCGTACACTTCGTAAAACCACCTACTCTCACTGCAAAACCGACCCTTTTCATCTCTTTTCAGATGAAAAGGGTCGGTTTTGCTAATTAATTTATGAGGAGGTCGTTTTTGCTGATTAAAATCTTTAAAAGGTTGATTTCAAAAATTTGTCCTATATTTAGCTTCGTATACATCTCATGTGTTGGGGAGAAATTGGGTGCAATCTAGAGTTAATGGGCCTTAGGCAGAAGCTATGAATCAATTTTAAATCAAAAGCTATAGTTGTTAGGTATTGACCCAAACTCCTATTTAAACTCATCATTCTTTCTTATCTTATTTGATGTGAGACTGTATCACATATTAATCACCCCAACACCTCCCCTTTAATTTGCGAGTACAGTTCAATTCAACTATAATTTAATCTTCTACAGGATTCACTAACTTTTGCACTATTTCACTCTTGGGTTAACCAATTTACTTATTCTTGTATCACTTCACTCGTAGGCTAACTAGACCATGCATTTAGCACATGGTTATCAAACATCCATATGATCTTCACTTCACTCATGATGATTAACTAGACTATATCACTCCTACGAGCATCTGTTGACTCCCGACACCTTTGGGCTTCACATTGGACTTCATCTTTTCTCCTTTTTCCCCTTTCTCTCTCTTTTTTATAAAATTACTTGGACCATGACCTTAGCTCTGATACCATGTAATCAAAAAGTAACTAGAGAGGATGATTTTACTTGGACCATGACCTTAGCTCTGATACCATGTAATCAAAAAGTAACTAGAGAGGATGATTTGTCCCTCTACTCACAAGTCTTATTAATAGTATTAGGATTACAAATAATTTGACTCTAATCAATGTGGGGCTAAACTAAATATAGGAAACTAACTAACAGGAAAGCTCAACATCACGCATGCTAAATGACCATCACTAAACAGGATAGTGCTATTGATGAATTTCTAACTACATATGCTTTATTTAGGACATGAACATTCTCAAGTATGCTTTGCTGGTTTTACTGCACCAGCTGACAGTATAATATCACATAAATGTCTTCCTCGACTGACACAACTAAGACAAACCTATAAAAGTATGTTACAGAAAAAAATATTGCTGTGTTGGAGGAATTCAAAAAGAAAAAGAATATTTTCTTGGAATTATCGTGCGCACATATTTAAGGTACTCTCTCCAAAGCGATGGAAGTGTGATATTGTTAGTAATCCACTGATTGGAGTGATTGAATTCGCAATTAAACGATCTGTAATTTGATTAATGCAGAAAGTAAGATATTGATATAATTGTGAGCTGTTATGAACATAGGCCTAGATAACTTTAATATGTGAAAAGTTCTATTCATTCGAAACCGTTAAAATTGATACGAGTGGATGAAGGGTCAAACAACGACGGGTTCACCCCAAACTTGGTGTGTTGGGGTTTTAAAATATGTAGATCAAGTTTAACGGAACGGATCATCCACAATATAGCTCACTTATGTGATTTTAGGCCGCGTCCTTAGATGATTATTTAAAGCGTCGCCTTAGGAACACTTTTCCCATATATATTATAGTTTAAATTGAAATATAAATCTAAATAAAATTATTAAATATTAAATTTACAAATGTCTACAAAATAAAGAGCGTATATGCAAAAACCAAATAAATTTATAAGACAAATAATGCCTACTCTAAAGGTCGAACTCAGGAACAACGTAGACCTACAAATGTACATAATGTGGATGTGATATTTACAAAATTCACCAAATAAATTAAAGAGACAAAAGTCAATCTCAAAAATTATAAAAAAGAAAAATTAAGGAAAATAAATATCATACTCCCCTTAAAAGCACGAGTTCGGCAAAAGCTTTCCATAGTTAAAATTACTCTGTACTATTTTAAATATTTAATTTAAATTATAATCTATCTTAATCATACTTGTATCCTATACTAATACCCCATGAACTATCTATACTTCAACAATTTAAATAAGATTAATAAAATATATGAAATAGCTCAATAGTATCAGTTTATTACATGAAGCATTACAAAAAAAATAAAAAAGTTTTAAAAATTAGACAAAATACTCTCGAATGTTTAAAATTACACAAAATAAAAAGCTAAAAATTTAGAACTTGGCAAAGAAAAGAGCAATTGTAGAAGACTAAATTATAAAAAACTAATAAATGACTATAATATAATAACTTAACGTTAATTGATTATAATCTCTAATGGTAATAATATTTATAGAGTAAAAAATTATAAAGATTTGTGCATGGAGAACTATTAGAAAATTTAAAGATATCCTTCAAAAGAATTAAGAGGTTTTCATTTCAAATAGAATTCGAAACGTCCATGAATCAATTCAATTATCACTAACATAAGTTATATTTATCAAAGAAACATTGACTGAATAGCCCTTGAAGAATATATTGAACAACTTTGTTTCAATCAAAGAAATATTCTTTATGGAAGATAAAAAAAATTAATATGTCATGACTCTGTGTAAGCAAAAAATATAAAATCGTCCTTTTTTATTCTTATATAGTATCATGACCCTGCATGTGACTTTATTTAGGGGTATGACTACTAACAAATGATCAATTCTTAAAGACATGATCAAGATGTAATAACACTATTAGAATTCAAGATCTCTAAATATGAAGGTATTATATTTCATTACTAAAATTCTTATTAAAGGCCACTAAATATAAAATTCACCTTATATCTATCTCAAATTTATAGAGAAGATATGCATGTCATCGTAAATTACGTGAATAATATATATCAATCCAAAGATACAACTTACTAAAGAAATAAGAGAATAGTAAATAAACCAAGCAAACATCCATATAACGTTGTAAAAAAAATATATTTTAAAGCTAATATGCAGCGCTCTTTTAGAGTAAGCTGTCAAGACAAAAACATCTCCATTAAGACTCTTTATAAATGTAGGAGCGATTCAAATTTACTAATATATACAACCATTATAATATTTGAAAGATGTATGATCTTAGAAAACCTACTCTAAAATTCATACAATTAAACCTAAGAATAATTTATCAATATACAGACACACCATCGCACCTTTAAGGCAACGATAACTACCATTTATAATATAGTTGAGCAGTAATTCTATGTTTACAAAGGCTACAACAAGAAATTGGAAAGAGATGTTGATAATAAGTGTCCAAATGATAAATATTAAAGAATCGTTGATGATGTAGTACCAATATTAAGTGATATCCCTTCTTCATGAAATAAATATATCAAAATTAAATATTAATATTATAATCTAAAGCAAATTGATAATAAAAAATGTAATGTATTTAGTTCAGATCCTCATGGAAAATGACACAGAAAGAGCAAATGTAATATTATGACACATCAGAAATTATTATTGGATGCACAACAGAATAATTCATTACAGAGAAAAAAGAGGTAGCTCGTAACCTTATTTAAGTAATAAATTAAAAGCATAAAAAAGTTTATATATATGAAATTAACATTTATTCTTATTAAAATAGAAAAAAAATCAAAATCCGTATTGACAGAAGTTTGTGTTGAATATAAGAAATATATTCAACTTTTTTGTGAATTTAGATGAGAAGACAAAAGATGAATAAGCCAAAGGAAAGATAACATGCTCCAGTCTCATATCACAATCAATGTAGATGATAAAGACACTCCAAAATTGCCCAGGAAAAAGATAAAGATGAAGAATGATTGATCTCGACTCAATAAAAAATAAAATAGAAGCAACAAAAGATAATATTTTGTGAATTGTTATGGAATGATTTTATTTTTTTAGTAAAATTAAGAATCTTTAGAAGAGATTTTCATAAACTATTTTTAGTGCTTTCATATGCATATATGAATGCTTTTATCATATAAAAGTGTACTAGAGTTAGCATTAATCTTTAGTTTATGATTTTTTATTAACTATTTTCTATTATTTTAGCCCACTTTAAATCAATCATCTTAGCTTGTTGGTTTTATTACTCATCTTCCTTTTATAATATTTTTTTAAGTGTTTTCACTTTCATAACACTATACTTCCTCAGGTCAAGCTCGGTTTCATACCAATTCAAATGAAATAAACATTTAAATTGGCTTTAGATTATATTTATCTCCTGATAATTCAACTATCAACATAAAAATTTAAACTGGGTGTAGCCTATTCAAACAAACATCAAAGAAATAAATAATCAAAGTGTAATCGAGGAACAAATTTTAGTAAGAAAATAAACTAAAAATACTTAAATCAAAGTGTATTATATATGTGAATATGTGATACTTGTATATATAATATATACTTATATGTAAGTATATACTTATAATATATATATATATATATATGTTAATCTGTGATACTTGTATAAGTTTTCTTTACAAAGTTTTGCCCTTTTTTGACCAAAAAAAAAAAAAGAGCAAAAAATCTGGCCCGGGTCCTAGTTTTGGTCAGGGCCTTTTGCTTGGCCCGACCCTAGATTTTTAGGCTGGCTCAAATGGACACTCCTAGAATTATGTGACAATGACTTAAAGTTTCCATGGTTTTACTGGAAAAAATACTAAATTGCCATGTAAGTTGATGGCAAAAAGTTTCTTCAGCTGAGTTTCAGGAGAAAAAGTCCTGATAAAATAAGGTTTTTCTTTCATAGAAACCCCCTTTAAAATATGGTCAGCTTTTAGAAATCACGTTTTATTTTCAATTTATACATAAACCATCTTAAAGTGTTTTTTCTTGCAATCAACCACCTGGACCCACTTTTTAGATAATTTTTTTGATAACCCCACCTAACCTTAATTAAGGACTATCTCTCTAATATATTTGGTATATGACAACTAATAGTTACAGGAATACTGAAAAAACATGACTTCAAAGTAGGTCTAAGTGGTTGATTGCAAACAAAAAAAACTTCAAAGATGGTTTATATATAAATACAAAATCAGAGGTGGTTTCTATAGAATGACTATATTTTAAAGGTTGTTTCTATGAAATAACCTAAAATAAAAAGTTTAGAGGATACAAGTGGTCACCAACGTAGGGATTTGTTTTCAATTAACCCAAGTGATTTGTAGCGAACTTGTTGACACATGTACTCATTAATTTATGTGTGAGGCATGGTAAATATTTGCTGCAAGTTATGCTCTGGCTTGTTCTATGTTGTAGACTGATCTTCTCTTGTTCAATGCTAAAACAGGATGAAGGTCGACTTAGAGATGCTCTCAAGTTTGCAAATGCATGTGGAGCATTGACAGTAATGGGGAGAGGAGCTATCCCAGCTTTGCCAACTAGACAAGCCGTGCTCGATGCTTTGGTTAATATAGTTGTTTAGATGAGCTGATGTTGCATTCTATTATTTTTCTTTGAGATTTCTGCACGATTGAACTGTTGCAAGTAATGTCTTGTTTTTTGTTTCTCGATGAAAGATAAAATTATGTATTAAGGACCGTAAAATTATTGACACTGCTAGAGATCCCACCTGCTTTTGTGGCTGTGATAAAAGATTGTGGGTAATCAAAGGACAAACAACTAAAATAGACGTACAACTAAAATATCTTCATCAGGGCCAAAAAGAATAGGTAAATGGAGGGCGTGTGATTAGGGGTGACAATTTATGACCCGACCCATCAACCCGACCTGATCCGTTTATAATGGATATGAGTCGAATTATATGGGTTGGGTCATAAACGGGTCAACCCAAATATCACAAACCACCGAATAAGAAGTGAAGAACCAGAACCCGCCTGACTCTTTCAGAAACCCCAGAGCTTGATTCTGTGGTGGCGAACGGCGGCGAACGAGGGCAACGAGCGATGGGGGCAAGTGACGACGAGTGACTGCGAGCGATAGGGAGCAGCGAGCGACGGTGAGACCTCGAACACGGTGCTTCAAAAGGGGCAGGCCGTGTCTCCTCACCTTCGTCAGACCAAGAGCTCTGAGTGCTTGATCAGTGACGAGACCGCCTCCATCGTTTTCACCGCTAGAAATGAGCAAGGTGAGCGATTTGGATGAAATTTTTATTTGGATGATTTGTTTTGGTAAAAGTAGGATGACGTGTTACTTCGAGCGATTTGGATGAAATTATTTTTTGCTTCCAAATGTTTTTTTTTGCTAGCATATATTTACTGTTCGTCTTATGAGCTTGTATCATTTTTCTTTTTCTCTTTGTTGCCTTTCTGTTAGATGATGCTCATCATTGCTCCAAGGCGTTGGAGATGTTGAAAACTACGACATATGTGTCAACCAAACAATCTGCAAATCACATTGAACCCTGAAAACTAAAAACGGGTCATTTGGGTTATATGGATCGGGTCGGCTAACCCGTTTAATAAACGGGTCGAATCATATTGACTCATTTATTAAATGGGTCGGGTCGGGTCACACTTATACGGGTCGAGTCATAACTGACCCGACCTAACCCAACCCGACCCGTTTGCCACCACGGGGGTGTGATTGCGACGAAATTTCTTCGTATATGAAATTTGTATCTTTCTGTTTCTCTGTATCTTTATCCATCTAATTTCTATACATATTGTGTAATTTGGTACTGGAGACAGAATAAGTAAACGTTGTGATATAACCTTTTCCAATAATCTATTCCTCTATAATAACGGGAGGATCCAATATTCACTATTCATGCTACAGTAAATTACTGTAGTATAAACAGGAGGATCCGAGGTTCATCATTTATGTTACATAAATTACTGTAGTATTATTACTGTAGCACAGGCGGGGCTGCAGACGTAAGGAATATTACCGTAACAATATTACTGTAGCTCGTGTGATACTATAGCATTTAAAAAATGTTGCTGTAGCACTTGCAAAACTGTATTTAAATATAAAATTACTGTAGTGAAAATAAAAAAATGGAGGTCGTGCTTTGCACGGGGTGCACACTAGTTATGTGGAATAGGAGCGAGATGTGAAGACCACTCCACGTGCTAAGCAATCAGGCAGGTGAGCATACAAGACCCTAAAAACTTTCACAGACTCTTCCTCTCGAATTTTGGACTTAAATTCTCTCTTCTAATAAAATTGTTTATTTTGATTTCGGGAAGTAAACTAATAATAGAACTGAGTGTATAATATAGTTATGCACCTCATAATTAATATCAGATAACCATGCATATATTGGAGTAGCACTATATAAGGAATATTAATTAACAGTAGTTCTCTATTCAGTATAACATGCATCCAAGGATGTCTGAACCATTGAAAGGAATCTATATAAACAAAAATGAAGAAGGAATAAGTTTATTATTCTTTTAGGAAAAATGCTTTCAGGTAGCTCTTAATTAGTTTCCTCATAATCTCATATTACCATATTGATGTAGCATTGTATATAAGGCATCAATGACGGAGCTACGCCATGCCTGCCAACCCACCCAAAAAAAAAAAGCAACATATATAGCCTTAAATGATATAGGTTTTATTCATATTACTCCCCCGCATCTTTGATATATGATTTTTTGTGGTGGTGGTGGTGGTGGTTAGGGGTGTGCAACGGTCGGTTCGGTTCGGTTTTTACCAAAATTTGAACAACTGAACCGAACCACCTATAATTCAAAACCGAACCGAACTGTTGCAAGTCAGTTCGGTGCGGTTCGGTTTGTTCGGTTCTAACTTCATCAAACTTCTTATCAAACAACAAATTGTGTTAAAGAAAAAAAATATCAACAAAGTAGGAGATTATGAAGTATTAAACACTATTATAATGATATTGTTTTTAACCCATAATGATCTAGAAAATAAGTTTAGAGTTTGAGTCTTTGACTCTTTGAGGACGGGTCGGGTAGGGTTTGAAATCAGAATGGGTAGTATTGCACTATATTCGGTCGGTTCGGGTCGGTTCGAGTTGAAAATATTTCAAACCGACCCGAACCGCCCTACTCATAAAACCGATTTTTTCGGGTCGGTTCTGGTCGGTTCGGTCGGTTTTTTCGGTTTGGACCGAACCATGCTCAGCCCTAGTGGGGGGGATAAAATTTGTTCTCTGGAAGTAATTGCCATAACATTTTGTACTTACCATTTAGGTGCTCTTCCATATCTTTCCCCTCTTTGGATTCTACTCATAAGTTCTTCGACAACCAAACTACATCTCTTTCATATCTTCTCTCCTCTTCAATTTTTCCTCTTAACTTCTTCAACAACCAAATGGATAAGTCTTAACTATGTGTGATTACATCGAAAACCAATGCTAACCGCATTAAAGTAAGTCTTACAATAAGCCTAGCTGAATTGAAGATGCATGCCTCAGAGAATTTAAAATTAGCGTATGAAAGTTTATTGATAAGTTACTCTCTCGAGAAGTTTCTCAATGTCTCCTTTGAGCTTTCAAAAGATGAAGATATTCCCAACATAATAGATTATCGTACAATGGGGTTTTATATGACAACTATGATAATTTCTAAAAAAGATGAAGGATCCATGCATGCTATAAGGGCAGAAACAGAGTTTAAGTAAGTATTCAGAAGATTCCTTTCAGCCTCTGTAAACACGTAATGTTGAAAACTGTGATATTAACTTCTTACATGTGACCTATAGCATTTACAAGTGACATTTAGATTTTACTAGTCACCTTTACAAATTAATTGTCGCTTTTATTTTTTACACGTGACTTATATGTATCATATGTTTTATTCAACCTATAATCTTCCTACTCTAAACTCACAATTATCGGGGCGTATCCAAGAATTAGAGAGGATTCCAAATGACAATCCTCAAGGAGACCAAGTGTGGATTATGGATGACATAGTAAGTGACTCGACGGGTATCCCCACACGGTGACACGGGGTAATTATTGGAGAAGGGCAACAATTTGAAAGTGCAAAAGAAGCTAGAATAGCTTTTATATACTACTCTATAGTTAAAAAGTTCTCTTTTAAATATGTTAATAATGAGTTAGAACAAATTCGTGCTAATTGCATGTTCAAGAAAGAAAAAAAATGCATGTGAGTGTTTCACGCTTCACCATTGAGTCATGTGTTGACCTTTACTATAAAATATAAAAATAATTTATTCCTCAATATACTTGTGAACGACATAACAACACCGCTGGTTATTCTAGAGCATCGAGGAGGTGAATCGTTAGTATACTATAATCAATTATGAAGAGTCATCCTTATATCACCCCAACTAACATTAGAAAGGAATTGCACTCTCAATACGGTTTAAAAGCTATTATTCTAAATCTTAGCATACTAAGGAGACATCAAAAGATTAAATATTTGATTGCACAAGACATTCCAATGGTTTACTACCCTAATTAGTCTATCCACAAATTAATTGTCTTTCATGTAAATATTGCCTTTCATTAGCTAATTTTCCTTCACTTGTGCAAACCTTTTGTCAATATCCCCAATGGCCTTTGGTGAGTCTTACAATTACTTTCTAATATGTTTCATTCAACATTGGCTTCTCAAGAGAGGTGTGAAAATACTTCTTCTCCATATGAGATTTATTCCTCCAAAATTTCATCTTCCCTTCCGATTCCAAATTATTAATCTCCTCTTGCATTTTATTTGCCTCCTTAAACTTTTGCTCAAGAATCTACATTAATAATTAACATTTTAGTTAGTAATGTCACATATAAGAAGTAGAAGTCAAATATTAGCTATAAATATTATATAGAAACTACATATATCACATAAAATTTACACAATTCACATCTTAACAATAAATAGTAAATTATAAAAATACTAATAACAATTCAAATATAAATGTCACTGATAATAAAATTAAGAACAAGAAATTTGTCTTACCCGTGCAATAGTGGATTTCCCCCTTATTATCTTCCTCTTTTTTAACTCTTTTTTAATAGAGGTTTTAGTGTCTGATTTCTCCTCTCTTTTAGCCTTCCTACTTGTATGATCTTGCTTAATCTCCTCATGAATGTACCATGACATCTCTTGTTCAAGTAAGATGTGGATTGCGGCTTCAGACTTCTTCATAATTGTCGTACTTTATAATGAACCCACTTTCTTACCTTTCAGTGTCCAATTAGTCATGGGTAGCTTTTGATCTTTGACTCTAACATATTTTTTGATGCCTATGCTATCATAACACCAGAGCTCCAAAAAAGCAACAATGAAATCAGCTCACTAATAGTCAAATATCACTAAACATGGATAACTATCACATAAAAAAACTAGAAAAACTCAATGTAACATTTCACTCATAAATGTTACATATGCATAACAAATATCACATGTAAATACGAATGTCACATATGAGTGACAATAGTCACATGTTAACAACTACAAATGTCAGAAATAACTTTTACACTCACCGATAGCAAGGGAGCACAACCATTCAAGTATGTAGTTCCTTTGTAGCTATCTTCGCAGCCTTTGGTGAATCTCATACTTCTTTATATATTATAGCCACACAAGGGAAATTATCTATTACATCTATGCTAGCTATATACTTGAACATATGCCTTGGAATATTCATCCTTACAGTTGGAGTCCATATCACTATAAGATACTTTAAATGTTCAACACATTCTCATCCGCTTTTATACTCTTTCTATTGTTTCATGTTGAAGTGGGTACTCCAAATCCTATTAGTTGTATCGTGATTGGGTTTAGGTTTCTCCACTTCGTGCTTTATTCTAGTTTGCTTTTGCACCCATTTCACATCAAAAGTATATCCCCGCTTTTTTCCTGTTTGATTATCATTGAAAAAGAAATTTCCAGTCGCCAAATCAAGATGATCAAGGAGTAACAAAATTGTTGCTTGATCAGCTGGAATTGCTCCAAATCTAATATAGGTTTTTAAATTGGATGATCCATAAGCATTTCAAAATTTTGGCCTCATATGCGGAACAATTTCTTCCACAAAAAATCACAATACCCTTGTATGTTTGCGCATATTCTTTTATCTTTCGATATATTACATTCATCCTTACTGCAAAACACAAAGATAACATACACATATTAAATAAGAAATTAAGATTCCAGAACATAGAGAAACTTGGATACATACTACAGATAAGGGATAACTGAGTAATTTCTATATATTCAGTGTGCATGGAATACCATTTTCTTAGTAATTCACATAATATTTGCATTAAGCTATGCTTTTAAAATTTAAAATGACAATATACATTTTCCACATACTTATTCCATTGTTTTTCTTTTCCTTTGTAGTTTGTAGGCGCATGTCAGAGATGCATACATAGACTAGACTCCTTGAATTTTGTATGCATGAGAGAATCACGCAAGAGATGTTCACCACTTGCAAGATGGTCTCTTCTTATATAAACTCACTCAAACAGTCAGCATTCTAATGCTAACTCAATTATTCACACAAAAATTTTGTACAGAGACTTTCAATGAGTAGCAAAGCCTGTCTGTTCTGTTTCTTTTTAGTGAAATCTCATCACAAACTGCCAATTTAATTGCATGGAAGTTGCAAAGATCCTAATTGAAAAACTAATTGAATTTTTTTTGAAATACCACGAATTGGAAAACTACTATCTAATAACCCCTAATCAAAGCTAGACATTGATTCAAAGCCATTGAAACTCCACATCTCTCTTACCCAATTTCAAAGCCATGAAAAATTAATTTGCATTGCTTACGAATTTATAAATCAAGAAAAAAATAGTTACTTCAAATGACAAATTCATACTTACAAATCATCCTTCTATGTTGCTGATTTAATTGATGAACATGATTTTGCCATGGACTAGGGTAGATTTCATCAAAAAACACCAAAATTTTATAATGGGCTCAAAATTGAGGGTTTTGATTTCTCAATTGATCTTTTGAGAAGAAGAGGGATAGAAGCTTATGATATTAGGATCAGGAGTTGGGTATTTTCAGTTCAGAAAGAAGAAGAAGGGAGAAGAATTTTTCAGAGGAACAAATTTTCGATTTAAACTCATTTAATTTTTTTATTAAAAAATTCGACCCAATCCACTTTTTATTATCAAAACCGACCCATTTCGTTCCACGTCAGCAGCGTGGCCACGAAATTGGTCGGTTTTTTTTAAATGACGCCGCTAAATAGCCGGGGTTGCCAACCCCGACTATTTAGTTATGTCGGGGCTGGCAACCCCGACTATTTAGCTAAGGACACGCTAAAATAGTCGGGGTTTCCAACCTAGACTAATTTAGGCCCCTGCCTAATTGGTCGGGGTTGGCAACCCCGACCATTTGGCAGAGAGGTAGGTGCTGTTCACTTCACTATGACAAAACTGTCGGGTTTGGGAACCCCGACCATTTTGTGTTCGTGCACAAAATGGTTGGGGTTCCCAACCCCGAACATTTGGCAGACTCTTCCAGCTAAAAATAGCTGGAAATACGAACTCCGCTGGAAATTCAAACTCCTGCTGTTACATATCAATCCACAATTCAATCACAATCACAATAACACACATACCAATCAATAATCTCAAATAAAAAACCATAATCAATCGGATACATACCATGCAATTCACATACTAATAATCAATACTCAATCTAATACATAATATTTAGTTTCAAACGCAAACATCCTATCAATACTCAATCAAATACATAATATTCAATTTCAATCGGATACAACTCCCTTTCCTCTCCCTCTCCCCCTCCCCCTCCCTCTCCCCCTGACACGTTCACCTTCGACTGATCATGCGAAAGAACGTGTTCCTCTGGCCTGGCTCGGTAGTTGTTCGGATTGCATCATGCGCCATAGTAGAAAGTTCTTCGAGCTCTTGTACCTATACAAACCCCAAGCTCCTCACGTTCATCTCGTCTTGCATTACGCGTCCTTTGAAGAGCGGACCGAATCTTTTTGATCATGCGAAGGAACGTGTTCCTCGGCCCTGGCTCGGTAGTTGTTCGGATTGCATCATGCGCCATAGTAGAAAGTTCTTCGAGCTCTTGTACCTATACGATAAAAACCCCAAGAAAGCTATTATGATTTGGATGGTAATAAAATAAAACTCACAAGGTAACTGTATATTTTGCTTATACACTTACCAACTCTCTCTCAGCTAGGCCTCTTGGTATGTATTCCTTAGGAGCTTTGTTCTCCTGAAATATCCACCGGCGAGTAATCCCCCAATACCACCGCAAATACACACCTAGGTCAGGTGCGTCAACCCTCTCCATCACCAACTGTTCTTCCCTGTTATCCCACCTCCCGATGTAAGCACTGTGAATATGTTCCCAATCTTGACGATGTGCACCTTTTCTGGGATTTCTCTCTATTACCTCCACAGGGACCGGGATATGTTGTCGTAGCCCAAATTGTCGTAGCACACGGTCGGGCACGTGCATCTCGACAATCTCAAAACATATGATCGGGACGCGAGCACGCCACACATCCGGCTCTTCTGTGCATATATCTGGTAGTGACTCTAAAACTTGTTCATATGGCATCCACTTGACCTATAAAAAGATAAAGTAAAGCAGATTTCAGTAATAAATGATGTAATGATTGAAAATTTTTAGATATTATGATTTAATACCTGTTCGTCCTCCATTTGATCGAGCTCGTTCCTATAGAAGTTTTCATAGCCCTTTGGTGAGGTATGTCATGATCTAGATACATTCCATCTAATTTATATACAATGAGTTAGTATAAATTAAAACAATTGTATAAAATTACATGTAATCATATATTTTTAAAAATAACTTAGTAATACCTGCAGCCTAACGGAATATTGCCATCGAGAGCACGTGCCTCTCTCAAATCTGGGCAACCCAAATGCAACCTATCCCAAGACCATATCTGTAGCAGAGTGAGACAACCCTTGAATTCTTTGTTTTGAACAAGAGCCACTTTGGTCATCTCCCTATACAGATACGCTAACACGGCACTCCCCCATGATAATCCCCTACAATCCACAAGATCCTCCAGGAGTGGCAACCACCTCACGTGCACTGAATCCTTCGTGGAATCCGGGAATAGAATAGTACCGATCATGTGAAGTATGTATGCACGGGCATACATCTTGACGATCTCCTCGGTCGCATCGATCAGAACATTCATAAAATTGTTTCTCAACCATTCAAGTTTGATCCTTCCACCCCTCATGTGAGGAACTTGACCCAACAATACTTCACACTTGCCTGTCCAGTTGAAGTCGTCGCTACCTGTGACAGCATCTCCATCCACTCGGAGTCCAAGCAAAACCCCTACATCCTGCAATGTAATCGTCGACTCTCCTTGGCGCAGGTGGAATGTGTTTGTCTCGGGCCTCCATCGTTCAACAAGTGCTGTCAAGAGAGCCCAATCAAGTCTCACCCATTTAATTTGTGAGCACTCAAAGAAGCATGCTTGACGAACATAATATTGGACATGTGGATCGGTCAACTCCCAGCTCGAGTGTGCACGAGTGTGATCAACGATAGTAATGCTCGGGGCCTGCATATAATGAACAATGTAAATGTTCAGTAACAGCCAATAACTTAGAATAATCCTTGAATGAAAATATAATTTATAACTACCAATCTAATTACCTCCCCAGTGTCAATCTTCGCAGATCGATGTCATGGTTGGTCATAAAGGACCTCATACGTCAATGGCCCCGCCTCCATAGCTGCACATATGATGATATAAATGAAACACATATGATGATATAATGGAGTAGAATATAATGAAGTATAAACGAAGTTGAATAATTAACAAAGAATAGAATAATTATACCCATTAATTGCTATTTATTTGGATTGGTGGGACAGTGAGATCTCCTGTGGCCCGGTTGTCTACAATATCCACATCTATTTGTTTTTGGAACTCCTTCCCGACCTCCATCCATCGTAGACTTTATGCGTGTTGATCTCGGGCGTCCGGCTTGCCGCTTAAATTCAGGAGGTAACACATGCGGCCCGTTATAGGGTGGCCAGTAACGACTATCTACAATGGGATGAAAAAACTGACTGTATGAATCTCTATAGTGGCTTGATTGGTACCACTCAGAAGCGTATGTGTAATACGATGTATTTGCACCCCCAAATTGCTTGGTCGTAACCGCTATAACATGTGCACATGACAATTTTTGCAATTCTGAAATGTTACAGGTACATGCGCATTGTGTTCCTCGTAGATTGACGGTGTAATTATGACCGTGATTGTCTGTAACCTCCCATTCAAAAACAATCCCTTATATAGGTGTACAAACGTGGATGGAAGTTTGGTAAATAACCAGACCCAAAACCAACATGAATTCGTGTGAACAGAATCCCAAACGAACTAGGAAACCCTCGATGAGTCGACTCATGACTAAGATGAGTCGACTCGACAGAAACTGGAGAAATCTCAATAACCAGCGATGAGTCGACTCATGACATTCATGAGTCGACTCAACCTGATGAGTTGACTCATAACAGTCATGAGTCGACTCACAGGCTGAAAACTGGGTACTTCGATTCTTCTGCTCGTCGTCTTGTTCCACGCTTCCTCCTGTGTTCCCTTATACTGTTTGACACCCCCTATTCTCATGCTAGTATGAGAATTATCTATCCTCAAGCTTCCATGAGGATCGCTAAGTTCCGAAGAGAAGATACACCCGTATCATGTGTCCCCTCTTTAAGAACTTGAAGTCCCGTTCAAGTTAGAACTTCAGCTGAGGAAACTCTCGAGCTCCTCCATCTTTTCTGCACCACCTGGCCTTGCTAGGAATTCGGTCTTGACGTCCGATCAGAAACAACTCATTCGTCCCGCGTCTCGTCATGGTCACCGTTCGCTCAAAGTTGCAATCCTTTGTCGATGGATTTTCTGGAAGTCTAATGCACAGTGAGACAAACTTCTTGCTTGCATTCACAAGTCTCTTCGCTCGCGTCACCGTCCCCAAGCTTGTCTCCTTC